TTCTAGTATTGCAACTACATTTCTCGATACTATTTAAATGTATGATCTACTTTGATTGTTTAGAACCTCGGCTCTATATAAACCACACCCTTTAAAAAGTCTAATTTACAACTATAAGAAAAAAGGGTGCAGTTTGTATAGAGCCGAGGCTTTAAACAATTAAAATAAAACACATATGAATACAGTGTCAAGAAATATGGTTTCAGCACTAAAAATCTTTGTGATAACTTTAAAATATATTTTCATCTTTAATTATAAAATTCAAAGCTTCAAAAATAGTGTAGATCGAGCAGATTTATGAAAACTTAAAAATCTTGAAACTTGACAGTCTAAAAATGTGTTACAAGATGCACTATTTCAAAAAACTTGAATTCTATTTTTTCTCACGTCTAGATACACGTATCTTGATGTTGAGATGATCAATTTGAAATATTCAGGCATCAAAACAACCTCAATTTTTGAAGTGGGCTCTTATTTGATTGTTTAAAGCCTTGGCTCTTTATAAACATTTTCAAAGAAAAAATAATACATTATATAATTTATAATGAAAATAAATTAATAAATAAAATATAAGATTTGGTTATCAATGTATAATTATTAATTAAAATATTATAACAAACATGATTAAAAAAATATTAGAAAAACATTGCATGTCATATGATTAAAAAATGAAAATAAAACTCCTTGTAAGTTCAATGTTATGACAAATAAATGAATTATTCAAAAAACATTTTCCCTAAAAAAATAGAAAATAATGATATTAAAATAAAAACATTTTAAAAATAAAAAAATATTGAACCGCATATCATATGCATAGTATAATTTATTTTGCGAAGTGGTAATGTGCTATCATCCTAATGAGTTAGTATTTTCTAACTATATAAGATTTCTATTTTAACATGTTACATGTACTCCACTAGGGCTCTTTTTATTTTTATTTTTTCGTGAATCAAATGCATTAAGAGTGTGGTTGAGCCCAAAAGTGGCAAAAGAGGTGAAAAAAAAAAAGAGTCCTCCAAAGTTGAAGGAAGAAAATACATTTATATAAAGTTATAGATTTGAAAATGAGAAATGATCCTTTAGGACCCTCCCGTGTGTAGGACTTCAAAGGTTTATCATTAAATTTGGTATAAATTTATAGAAAAGTCAAGTTCCACACGTTATAACTCTTCTAGAGATTCATACCTACTTTAATAAGGATCTTTCGAGATCCTATACATATGAATGAGAGATCCATACTAATTTTAATGATGATCCTTTGAGATCCTATACATATGAGTGAAAAAAATCCCGTAAGATCATTTCTCCGTGAAAATATAGGATAATCGGCTGTCAAAAAAAGCCAAAGAAAATGGTCCCCTTGCTCCACGAGTTTTGCATTTAAAGACTACTAAAAAGTTGCTCCACCAGTTATGCATTTAAAAAACAGCGAAGCACAGTGTTCCACGTTGGACGTTGTGATGGGTGTTGTCTGTGGGGCAGGTGGGTAGTGAAGATAAGGTTGCCAGCGGGCTCATTTTCTTTATTACACAACAAAACCGGTGTGACATATTCGCTTTTACGCGAACCTGTTCTAGGGGAGTTGATTACGATTTTTTTTTTGGTTATAAAGCAAAGCTAATGAGATATCTTTCGAATCCTGATATATTGTGAGATTCAAATTGAAAATAGTAGTTAAAAGTGTGATATGAAAAGTATTGAGTGGCTTGATGCCTACAAAGTACATTTCTGATGCCTTTATAATTTATTAAAAAATTAATTCCAAAATCGTTATATGTATTTTTTAATGGGTGCGATTTGTATAGAGCCGAGGCTCTAAACAATCAAATTAGAGCCTACCTTCAAATAGTGTTGAGAAATATGGTTTCAATATTGAAAAGTTGTGTTAGCCCTAAATTATATTTTCATCTTTAGTTATAAAATTTAAAGCTTCAAAATTAGTGTAAATCGAGCAGATCTATGAAAACTTAAAAAACTTGGAAATTGACGGTCCAAAAATGCGTTACAAGGTACACTATTTTAAAAAATTGAAATCCATTTTTTTTCTCATGTTCATGCATCTTGATGTCGAGATAACCACTTTTATGATCTTTGGGTATCAAAACAACTTTTTCTAATGAAATTTTTTAGGTAGGTTCTAATTTGATTGTTTAGAGCCTAAGCTCAATCTCAGGTTTCTATGAATAGACTCAGTGTCTATTAAACATATAAAAATACATACTTGTCTTCTATAGATAAATTACATATGACAATAATAAAGACTAAATTATAATATCTAAACAAACCCAAACTTACCACGTACAGATACTCTACCAACTTTTCCCATATATACTCATTGCAGTATATACTTTTTATATTAACCCAATACACAATATACACTTACCTTTCACAAGCTCTATATAATCTTTTCCCTTTTTTAATCGAACGTGTTGGGGTGTATCTAAATGGGCCATCGACTTTGATAGCCTGAGAAGGTTTTCTTTGAAAAAAAATGTTTTTTTACTGGTTTCCCTTTCTATCTCCCAAAAAAAAACTCTCCCCTTTTCTCTCTCTAATCTCTACTACTACTCTCTGCTCCTGCCCGTTTGCATTGTCCATGTTTACGGGTTCTCACCCCGTTCTCTTCCCTAATCTTGCCTAATATGCACTTGCCCCTCTCTCTCTCTCTCTCAAACTTCCCAAGCAAGAGTTCCTTAGAGGCACTAGCCCCCTCATTCTCTCTATAAAAGTAAGTGTTCGACGAACCGGTGAAAAGGGCAGGCATTGTTTGGGAGAGTTTGCAGCATTGATTTTGCATTCTTTTGGGTTGTCAGCCTTTGATGGAAAGAGCTATTGGACCTTGGAAAGTGGGGCTTTCTAGATTTTCTGAAATTACCAAAACAAAGTCTTTGTAGTTGGAATTTGGTAAATACTTTGGTGGCAAAAAGGTGCTTTGTTGTTTTGACTGTTTAGGAGGTTTAGAATCTTGGGCACTAGAAGAGGGTGACTCAATTTTGGGGTTTTCTTGGATTCTGAGAGCAATGGTCCTCCAAATTCTAGCCAGTGTAAGGAAGAATAGGGTTTATGAAAGGACCGAACGGGGCTGATGGAGATTTTGCAGACGTATTAATGGGTGTGGTTGGTATAGAGCTGACCTTATAAACAATCAAAATAAAGTTTTCGTTCGAATAGTGTTGAAAAATATGGTTTTAATACTGAAAATCTTTGTGCTAGTTTTAAAGTATATTTATATATGTAATTATAAAATTTAAAGCTTAAAAAATAGTGTAGATAGAGCAGATCTATGAAAACTTGAAAATCTTGAAAATTCATGGTTCAAAAATGTGTTACAAGATGCACTATTTCTAAAATTTAAAATCCATTTTTTTCTCAGGTTTATGCATCTGGATGTTAAGATGATCAATTTGAGGATATTTGGGTATCAAAACAACCTCTTTTAATCAAATTTTTTAGGTGGGCTCTAATTTGATTGTTTAGAGCTTCGACTTTATATGAACTTTTTTCCTAACTAATATAGGCCATTTTAAGGGCATTTTGAGTATTAGTTCATTTATAGACAAATGTAAGCAATGAAAATGGATTTGTTTGATGTGTTAGAATGAAAATCCACATCCAAATAAAACTCTTGATCACAAATCAAATAGAAAATCCAGAAAAATAAGGAGAATAGCAAATGCATTTCAACAAACTACAACATGACACCATTTGACTAAAAGACTTATTAGTAGTAATTTCTCATGTTAAAATTTTGGGAAAATTACAAATAACCTCCAAGACTAAACTTTTTATATAAGTTACCCCCACCAAATATTTTTTCTCAATTTTTACCTCAAAATATACTTTCTTAGCAAATACCCCCAGCCTAAAACAAAAATAAGAAAAAGTCTAAACTAACCTCCCTTATTTTTACCCATGCCTCTCTCTCCTCTTTCCCACGAAAACGTGGTCCGGCTTATTCTTAGAGTGGTTCGACAGTGTAATTTGGATTCAATAAATAACAGTGGCGGTACGGTAGTACAAATGGCGGCCTGGCAGTACAAGTGGTGGTCCAGCAGTAACAAAGAATGATCCGCCAATAGGCCCATGTAGTACGGCATTGCCAAAGAGCAGTCTGACGACAGACCTATGCGGTCCAGTAGGCCCTTGCGGTACATCAAAATTGTGGTCTGGTAATGTCAAAGAGCGGCTCAACACTTTTCTTAGTTTAACAGGGCCCGACAATGTCAAAGAGCGGCTCAACACTTTTCTTAGTTTAACGAGGCCCGGCAATGTCAAAGAGCGATCCGGCAGCCCATGTAAGCCCACGTGAATGTCCGGCCAAAATTAAATTTTTATGTACAAAAACGGGTATTTTGGTAAAAAAAGTATTGTTTTTTTTACTTGGGGGTATTTTATAGAAAAGTGTATTTTGAGAAAAAAAGTGAGACAAAAAGTTTGATTGGGATTAGCTTTGAAGGTTATTTGTAATTTTTCCTCAAATTTTTGGCATCCCAATTTACAAATAGCATCTAAGTCGTTTCAAAAATAAACATCAGATTTTAAATTCATGAACACCTACATTTTGATGGTTCGAATATTGAACAGTCCATGTCACATCTGGGTATGACTGGCAATGGGCCAGTGACCTTGGTCGGTGTGGGTGGCTCAGCCCTGACAACTAGGGCCTCGGCCACAAAAATTTGGCATGAGGGCCAAGAAAGACTAGGCTTTGGCTAGGTAGGTCCAGCCCAGCCCGACTCTTTTTACTTTATTTTTTCATATTTTTTCATTGCCTCTATTGGGCCCTGACCTCTTTGGCCCGGTCTATGTTCAGGTCCGCCCTACAGAACCAAGGCCGGGGCCTGGTCCATTGCTTGCCCGACATTTGAGTAAAGAAAATTTCAGACCGATATTCTGAAAACAAAGCAAGTAACGGCAGATGAGTTTTACTACCTTGGTGCTCAAAGCTTTTGAATATGATAACGATGCCCTCAGTTTTACATAATAACCATAAAACCCCTCATTTCCATATCTCGAATCTCTCTTCCTACATCATTCCAAGGAATAGTAGCCCAATTCCCACAATGATCCAACCGATCCTCCCTTTATTTCGACCCCATGCAATAGATGAAGGCCCAAGTGGAGAACCAGCTGGAGAAAATGGAGGAAGAGAAGAAGAAGTGGCCTCAGATGGTGCCTCAATAGGGCGCTGCTTGTGGTGTTGTGAGGGTGAATCAGCTGGCGAAGAAGCTAAAGAAACAGTATCGATCTCGAGCTTCATTCCTTGTGTGCAGTGGCCTGGAGTTCCGCAAATGAAGTATCTCTTCCCAGGTGTTGTGAGTTCAATGGAAGTGTTTTCGTCTGTGTGAGTTTCGAGGGGGCTGTTCAATTGGCACGAGTCGTGTGCCACTTTAGTTACTTCTAGCACATTGTGGGTCGAGGCATGCTGGAAAGCTGTATATGAAATTCTAATCAGTATCAGTACATTAGCATATTGATTTCTTCTAGAAATTCCTAAAACTCTTTCTTATATGCAAAGTTCGGAGTTTATCATGAAAAATGGATTCAAAACCGAAGATAGCGGTTCGAATGCATGTAGATAAGGGCACTCCGAATTGGCCGAAGACATTTATAATGCTTTAAGCTAAAAGGGGATGAATGGGTATGAAAACCTTACTCAGAGTGTCCCCTGGGTGGAAGGTATTGGCAGCAGCCCATGTCTGTATATCCGTTGAAATACCCCACCCACCTCCCGGGCTTCCGACAGTGAATTTGTTTCCCAACACAAGGTTCGAAAGCATCGCCACAACCACGATCACCATTAAAATGTTCTTCATACTTGGCATCTCCAATGTCAATGCTGAAAGTTATGTTTTTGAGAAGAGAGAAATAGGGAATGGATTGCATATGAGTGGAAAGAGAACCTATAAATATGGATAAAATGGTATAGCTCCTTGGAGCATGCCAGAGTAATCCATGGTGTATCAGATATTAACAATACTATTATAGTGGAGAAAATGCTTGTCAAAGTTACGCATGGTGGATTGTTCCTGTTATTTTTCACATATATCTCTGTAACCCATCTTCCAAACTCTCTCTCTCTCTCTCCCCCCAGTCAATATTGATGGCATTGGTTTTTAATAATGTGGTAATCTTTTTAATGTTTTTAGGCATATGTGTTTCATAAAATCGAAAAGTACAGAGAGGATATGAACAATTTAAGCGAGATGTGGAGCAAGGCTTATCTGAGTTAGTACGTATTTATCCACAGAATTAAAAAAAGGAAAAAATCTGTAGGGCTTGTCTGAGCTTCCATGTGAGGTGTGGGACTTGGTCTTATTTGCAGGATTGTGAACTGGCAGTGAAGGGGGTGTTATTCGAGTTCTATATTCGTCTATAATTCTGGTGTTGACTTTGTTTATTATTTCTTCAACATGGAACTGAACTTGTTTTCGTAATTAAGAAATCTGCAGTTTCTTAGAACCTTCAGCAAACAACCCATCCCAAAGTTCACAACTTTATAATTAAGAGATTCTCTCTCAAAAGTTTATATTATTGGCAAGATCAATAGATGTGAGTGTAAGCTTTTGTTAAACTAATAACTGGGGAAAGTCTACACTTTTTAAAAGACTGAACTTAGACTTCTACCTGTTTTTGAGCAGCTCTATCACCCTTCAAAGGTGCGTGAATATTTGAGGCATGTAGAGTAAATGGTTTTGACCATGGTTCACTGATAGCGTTAATGTGTGTTCTAGTAGAGGTGCATTGACACTGAAGGATCGTCACTTCCTCATCAAAGGTCCATTTTCGTTAAGATATGAGACATCGAATTCATCTCTAGGCTCCCTTTAACCTCCTCAAATTTCGTGGTTAGAGAGTGCATGTGGAGAAAGCCATCAAAGATATGAAAAGATGTGTCCAGAAGAGTGTGAACGAGCGAGTGGGTGAGGGATAGCGGTTCAAAATTCAAATTTCGTGGTTAGAGAGTGCATGTGGAGAAAGCCATCAAAGATATGAAAAGATGTGTCCAGAAGAGTGTGAACGAGCCAGTGGGTGAGGGATAGCGGTTCAAAATTCAAGCAGATTAAGCAGCGTGAGGAAATAAAAATAAATTCAAATAAGATCTATGCATAATCCAAAAGAATCAGTTCATGAATTCAAAGTTGCGGAAACGCGTAAGATGAATGAGCAAGTTCGCATTAGCGTGAGACCCAAAGACCAGTTGAGCAAATTCGAAAATCATGGAGAATGACTCACGAGAGTTCAAATTCAAAGAAGATACACACAAAGCCTGATTTATGAATTCAACTATTAAATGGCACGAGAAATCAACATGGAGGTAAAAGAAAGGATGGGCAGCAACAAGAAATCAATTGAAGATCAAAGGACCCTATCATCATGGTTATCAGCTAAAGATTGAAGCTTATCACCCCACGAAAGATTATATAAACCCCACCCCTAATCAAGAGAGGCATTCACACCTTTGATCTGATTTACAATCTTTTCTTGTAAGATCTAAGGGCTAAGAATTGATAAGTGAGAGAAAAGAGTGAGAGAAGAGTGATTGTAATAGAGAGGAGAGAGAATTTTTTTCTATCATTCTCGAAGAGGGCCGCTCTCGAAGAGGGAAGAAGAAACCGAAGTGATATTCATGCCGTAGATCAGGCATATAAGCTGATGTCCTATTGATGTTATTTCTCTTATTTTTATATGTTTGTATAGTTCCCTTCCTAGAAACGAATATATAGGTCTCAACCTAGAATCAAGGGTAGTTGGTTTTGTTCATTTTACTTGATTGATGTAAATTGTAGCAGGTGATTAAACCCCTGGAATTACTCTTTTTCCAGTAATACATATATAAAAAACCCTGTATTTTATAATATGAAAATATGTGGGTGAATAAGGAGAGAGCAGCTCGTGACCTAGGTCTGTGCTTGTCTTAAATATTTTAAAATATCCATCTGTTTGAGGTAATTTTCTATCACTTGTATTTCAGGTGCGAATAAGGAGAGAGAAGTTTCGTGACCTAGGTCTGGAGTTACCAAATGCTTGCGGACTACGGAAGCCGTAGGTCAATAGGCCCTGATTCAGAAGTAAATTTTTTGACAGTCCCAGAATGGCCCAAGAGCATCCAAGGACGTGGCTAACGGTATCCTAAGAACACCTGCCAAGTTTTATCGCAATCTAATGAGTTTAAGGCAGTGCAGATGATAAAACAATTTTGGGAAATTCTACCTCTATGGTGCTGAAATGGAATATGAACTACAACACCATTATCAGAGCATCAAATAGTCTCCAAACCATCACCGTTGGATTCAGAATGATCGAAAACTCATAGGTACCATTTTTCGGCGCATTTGGACTCTTCTGGAGCAAGTTATGACCAAATTACCTAAAATAGGTGGGTTGTACACTATTATGTTGCACCCTCGATGCATTTCGGGGGCAAACTTTTTGTGCTCCTATCTTCCTCATCCTGAGTTGGATCGACCCCAAATTTTGGGAGCATGTTCATCTCATCGACTCAATTGATTTGATATGCGGCACGCATGATAACATGACCCGAACAGAGAGAAATCGAAGAGAGAAGTTCGTCGGAAAGTTCCAAAACTAGCAGGAAATTTCCAACAACGTGTCCCCTCGATCAAACACCCGCATCACGGCGCTCGAATGTCGGATCGAAGTAAGGTCTGACCTGTTATGACCACAAGGTTGAGAGCTTCCTCCGCATCGAACCTCGTGCATGATCGACGGTCGAATTCATCAGAAATCAAGGATGAACAATAGCTAATTCCGGCCACTAAGATCCAAATTTCAGCCAAAGTTTCCCAATTTGGAAAACGGTGTTCCGAGCACCAAATGGAGTCGTTATTTTTGTAGAATGATCATGACGAATTTCTCATCATGTTACAGAGAAGAAATTAGCAAAGAATACTTAGAAACGGGTTGAATCCAAAATCTAGGATTGCACGTTTTCTCGTGTTCTTGCCCCGTCATGATCATGACCCGAGAGTTTGATCCATGACTCGAGATGGGTATCAAAATGGCCTTCTTCCCGAGCCAATCCAGAAAAGAACAATCTTTTGGTTGGATTAAGACCAGAAGGACCCCAAACTAATCCCGAAAGATTGTGAAGATTGCATGGGCATGGCAAGGACTTGTTTGGAATTTCAGGATTTGTGGGTCCGAGGATAAATCGTCATTTTGCCCCTATTTTCTTAATTTTTTTTAAATCACTTAATTAATAATTTTCAACAATTAGGTCAAAATTTGATTGTACACCCATGTTTGGGTCCCACTTCTATATAAGCACGTACCATCTTCGTATAAAGAATCCTGCCTCAGTCAATCAAAGTTTTGCTTTTTGCTTAAGTCCCACGGTTTGGAGAGAGAGAGAGAGAGGAGAGAGAAATCTAGACGGGTATCCTTAAGCCTCAAAGGTAACTTTCTCTCTTCTCTTCTCCTCTCTCTCTCCTTTCTCTCTCTTCTATCCCTCTCTTCTTTTCCTCTCTCCTTTCTCTATCCTTTCTCTCTCTTCTTTCTCTCTTCTCTCTATCCTTTTTCTCTCTCCTTTCTCTCTCTTCTTTATCTCTCTTCTTTCTCTCTCTTATTTCTCTTTCCTCTAATTTTCTCTTTTTTCTCTTTCTCTCTCCTTTCCTCTTTCTCGCTCTTATTTCTCTCCCCTTTCCTTTCTCTCTCTTCTTTCTCTCCTTTCTCTCTCTTCTTCTTTCCTTTCTCTCTTTTTATTCCTTATCTCTCTTTGTTTCTTTCTCTTCTCACATCTCCCCCATCTATCGCGCACGACACGTACACTGCCAATACACTGCCAACCACAACCTTCTCTCTTCTCTGTGTCTCGCATTGCTGTGCACACTGTCGAGCGTGACCTTCTCTCTCTTCTCTCTATCTCGCACGACAGCATAAACTATCAAGAGTGACCTTCTCTCTCTTTTCTCTTCTCTCTATCTCGCACGGTAGCGTACACTGCCGAGCACAATCTTCTCTCTCTTCTCTCTTCTCTCTACCTCGCACGACATCTTACATTATCGAGCGTGACCTTCTCTCTCTTCTCTCTTCTCTCTATCTCACACAGTAGTGTACACTGTTGAGCCCGACCTTCTCTCTTCTCTTTTCTCTCTGGCTTGCACGGTAGTGAACACCGTCGAGCCGGACCCTTGTCTTGCATGGTAGTGAGCACTGCTGAGCATGACCTTTCTTCTCTCCCCCTTCATGTCCTGCACAACAGCACACACTGCCGAGCGTGACACTTCTTTCTCTCTCTGTCTTGAACGACAGTACATACTATTGAGAATGACCTCTTTCTCCTTTATCCTCTCTCTCTTCTTTGCTTGCTTGACCAGAGGGTAGGTTGAGCCTCTTGTTGTCGTGCCAGTCTTGTCATCGAGCATTTTAGTTGTCGTGCCAGTCAAGTTACCGAGCCCGTCTAGCTGCCGTGTTAGACTAACCGCTGCACTAGGCTAGCTACCGTGCCGGTCTTATCGTTGAGCAGTTTAGCTGTCATTCCGGTCAACTTACCGAGCTTGTCTAGCTGCCGCGTGAAACAAGCCATTGTGTTAGACCAGCCGTTGTGCCAAACCAGCCATCATGCCGATTTTGTCATCGAGCAATCTAATCGTCGTGTCGGTCAAGTTACCGAGCCCGTTTAGCTGTCGTGCTAGACCAGCCGTCGCGCTAGTCTCGTTGCTGTGCTGGCTTAGCCGCCTGGTCAAACTTCTTCTCTCTCTTTCACCTCTCTTCTCTCTTTCCTTCTCTTCTCTTCTTCTTATTTTTTCGTCTTTTCTCTCTTTTGAAAAGTTTAACGAGAGCTAAGCTAACCTTCACTCTCTCTTATCGCTTTTTTTTAATCCCTCTATTTAAAAAAAAAAACCTTTTCTTCTTTATCCCTGAAGTGTTGGGTGAAAGTCAAACCATCCTTC